GTGCACCACCACATCAGAGATACAGCCCACCCTGGGGACTGGGCTGGCTCAGGATGTGGTGCCTGGGATCGAACCATAGTCCCTGAACTTCCCTGAGCTTGCCTAAGCAGGTGCTTTAGTCTACTGGCCCCTCACTATATAGTTTTTAGGCAGGGTCTTTAAATCATTATGTAGCTCAAGCTGGCCCCAAAAGCCCAGCCTAATCTTTATTCATTTTTTTGATTGAAGCATCTTAATGTACCTCACCCTAGAAACTGTCAAGATAAGGAACATGTTTCATCACCCAAAAAATACTTCATGTCATAATGCTTTCCATTCTTTTTCCGTGGCTAGGCGTGGCGGCACACTCTTATGATCCCAATCACTCGAGAGGCTGAGGCAAAAGGACTACAAGTTCAAAGCTAGTCTAGGTAATTTGTTTTAATTCATTTTTTTTGAGCCATGGTTGTGCTGTATAGTTCAGTCTGCTTTTGAATTCACTATGGAGCCTAGGATATCCTCAAAACTATGATTCTTCTGCCTTAGCTGGCATTATAGAGGTGCCCCACCATAACCTGCTCCAGTCTGGGGAAATTTAGCAAGACCTTGTCTCAATACTCAAAAAGGGTAAGGACATAAGCACAGTGGTAGAGTATGTGCCTAGTATGCATGAAGCCCTGAGTTTTATCTCTAGTACGTCCCCTCCCCAAAGCTTGAATTTTTAAGAATTTTATATGGAATCATCCATTCCTTAGTGCTTGGCTTCTTCCATTCAGTTGCTTTTAAATATTACTATTTCATCTGGGTGTGGTGATGCCTGTAATCCCAGCACTTAGGAAGCTGAGGCAGGAGAATTGCTTTGAGTTCAAGGCCAGCCTAGCTACAAGTGAGTTTAAGACCAGCCTGAAATGCCCAGCAAAACCCTGTCCCAAAAAGAAAAAAAAATTATTAGTATTTCATTCCAGCTGGGTGTGGTGACACATGCCTATAATCCCAGCACTCTGGAGGCTGAGGCAAGAGGATTGCCACAAATTCAAGGCCAGGCTGGGATACACAGCCAGTTTAGGGGCAGCCTGAACTATATAGTGACTCTGTCTCAAAAGCTCAAAGCCAAATAAAAAATATTTCATTCCTTGACTGTGTGGAAATAGCATGATTTGTTTATATATTCATTTATTTTACTTTTTATGTTCTCTCTCTCTTTTTTTTTTTGTCGGAACCGGGGATTGAACTCAGGCCCTTGCGCTTGCCAAGGAAGTACTTATTCTACTGAGCCATCTCCCAGGCCCCCTATTTTTTATGTTTTGATACAGGGTCTCGCTATGCAGTTTGGACTCGTAGTAATCCTCCTGTCTCAGCCTCCCCAGTACTGGGTTTGCAGGAGTGTACCGCCATACTCAGCCACCACGGGGGATCAAACTCTGGACCTTGTGCTTATGCTGCTTAACTATCTACCCAGCCCTATATATTCACTTATTGATGAACACAGAAATATCCTCCAGTTTGGGACTCTAATAAGAAAAGCCACCAATGAACATTTCTATATAAATTTATTTGTGAACATAAGTTTTCACTTACTTAGGGTAAACACCTAGTCATGGAATTGCTAGACTACAGGCCAGATATACTGCATACTTAACTTTTCAGCACTGAGTGTTAAACCCAGGGTCTTCACACTGAGCATTCCTAGTCCTTTTTTATGGTGAGACAGCAACTTACTAAACTTATACTCTTCCTAGTTCAGCCTCTTAGATGCCGACATTATATGTATATACCACCAATCCTGGCTGTATATTAAATTTTAACTTGAGCCCCCCCCCCAAGTACATTCAATTTTGGTTTTTTTGCTATTTATTTTATTTATTGAGTACATTCAATTTTGAACAAAACTACCATACTGGTTTTTTTCCAAGGTAGAGGAACCATTTTAAACTCTCATGAATTGGCTGGAGTTCAACTATCTCATGGCATCTGCAGTTACTGCTCCCTTTTCCTGGAATGATCTTCCATAACTGGCACGGCTGGCCTCTCGACATCCAAATCTCAGCTCAGCGCTGTATTCTAAAGAGACTTAGGAACTGAACTGCACCCCTCCAACCACCCAAGTTCGTACACTGAGGCACACTCTCAGTACCTTACCACGTGACTGCATCTGGACAGTAGGATTAAATCAAATGAGGCCTCTTAATCCAATTTGACTGGCATCACACTTGTCCAGAAGAGGAAGAGACACCAAGGATTCTCACAGAGGAAGGCCCAGTAGACATACTAGAAAGCAGGCGTCTGCAAGCCAAGGGGAAGCCTCAGCAGAATACAAACTCCCCGCTATCCTGGATGCCTAGGATCTACAACTACCAAAAAATAAATTTGTGTTTTTTATGCAACCAAATCTGTGGCATGTTATGAAAGCCCTAGCAAACTAAATGTGAAGTTACCATTTTACCATTACCAGTTTGCAACCACTATAATAACAATTATTTCATGAATTATCAATGAATGCTAAAAGCAGAAACTAATGAAGGACACAATATTTAGTGCCAAAATACCTTCTTTCGAGATACTTAATACTTTCAAGGGGGGGTAGGGAATCACTTTTTATTTTTATTTTTTATTTTTTTGCAGAATGGGGATTGGAATCAGGCCCTTGCACCTGGCAAGCACTTATTCTACTGAGCTATCTCCCCGGCTGGGAATCACTTTTTAATGGAGTACTTTTGCAGATATCACCTTAACAAACAAGCAAGGTCAACATCCCCAATGCTGGTACAAGCCAATGTCATATGTGCTGCTCAATGTGAGACATGAAGGACAGAACTTTCTTTCAGTTGCATTTTTGTCAAAAGTGCATACTCTGAATCTAATCTGAAGAAAATATCAGACAATTCCAAATTGAGTGACATTTTACAAAACAATCTGCCAATACGTTCCATAAATGCCAAGGTCATAAAAAATGAAACTGAAGAGACAAGTAAATCCAACAAGGGATCCTGAATTAAATTCTGAGTAATAGCTATAAAGGACACTACTTGGGATGATTAGCAAAACTTAAATGTGAATGACATATCAAATAAGTGTTCAAATTCCTGATTTTGATCATTGTACTGAGACTGAACAAGAGTCCTTGTTCTTAGGAAATAAGCCCAGAATTATTTGACAAATGAATATGAACTCTTTGGGGCATTTTGAATTGTTTAGTTTTTGCTTTTTGTGCCTGAGTCTTGCTATGTAGTTCATACTGACCTTAAACTTGCTGTGTACCCTAGGCGGGCCTCAAACTCCCAGCAATCCTGTCTAAGCCTCCTGTGTGCTGGGATTATAGGTGTGCACCACCACACCCAGCAGGAATATGAAATTTTAATACTCTAAAATGATTTACAATGAAATATATATACATATCATATATACACATCTATGTGTGTGTACATATACACCTAAGAGAAATGCTCGTACAAATGTAAAATCATGCGGGCTGGGGAGATGGCTCAGTGGAATAAGCACTTCCCTGGCAAGTACAAGGGCCTGAGTTCAAGCCCCAGTTCCGCAAAAAAAAAAAAAAAGTAAAACTATAACACTTTGTTATTCTGGTTGAAAGTGTATGTAAATTCTTTACTATTTTTGCAATTTATAGGTACACTTGATTGTGTATGTGTGTGTTTTACTGGAAATTGAACAAGGTCCTGCACATTATAGGCAAGCACTCTCCTAGTGGGCTTCATCTCTGACCCCTACATTTGAAATTTTGTTTTAAAGAAATTAGACTTTCAGTTACTATACTATCAG